TCCTCGTACTTGTGCTTCCAGGCGTTGAGGTCGGAGTGTGCGCGGTCGCGGGCGTATTTCAGGTTGGTGATCTCGGTTTGGAAGATGACGAGCTTTTCCTGGAGGCTGCTGATCTCGCCGGTGAGATGACCGTGCTTGCCGCGTGAGTCTTCTCCCTCACGGTAGAGCACCTTGTTGCGCTCGGTCAGAGTGTGGATCTCTGACTTGATCTCGGTGATCGTCAACTCTGCGCGGCGGAGGGAATCTTCCAAGATGTTGATGCGGCGGTGACCATCTTCTACCTTGCGGTGCTCGTCGTGGAGGTCTTGCTTGACTTGGTCGCGCTCAATGACAACGAGACGGTGGTCCTCGCGAGAGCGGTCGATGGCGTCTCGGAGCTCTGTGCGCTCGAGCTCGACGTCCCTCAACTTCTCCTTGACGGAAACGACCTCGCGCTTGATGTGCTCGTACTTGAGGGAGAACTCGTTAGCACGGGCGTCGGACTCCTCCCAGCCTTGAACCTTGGCCTTCACCTCACGGCGGAGGTTGTCAATGGTCAGAGCATGGTCATCACGCTCTGTCTCAATGATGCGGACAGTCTCCTTGAGCTTGTGAAGCTCGCGCTGTACACGGTCGTGTCGCTCAGTGAGCTCAGTGTACTCGCGAGTAGTCTCTTCAACGCGAGATTTCGCACGCTTCAACTCTTCGTGCAGACGATCCTTCTCGTGGAGGTGTTCGTCCCGCTCGAGCTCGAACATCTTGATACGGTCGGTAAGAGTGAGGACCTCCTTGCGAGTAGACTCAAACTTGGAAGTAGTCTCGTTGTACTTGCTCTTGAGCTCAGTGTGCTCACGATGAAGTGTCCTGAGCTCGTTGTGGTGCTTGTCTGAGTCAAATCGAGCGGAATCGCGTTCGCTTTCACAGATCTTCAGCCTGGAGTACGCAGCCTCTAGCTCCGACCTGGTCCTCTCGTGATCACCATGAGTGAGCGTGATGGAGCTTTGAAGTTCGTGTAGCTCATGTCGGGTGTTCTCCAGGTCGCGGTCGCGATCGGAGAGCTTCTTCTTGTGGTCGGTCACTTGAGTAAGGGCAGCGTTAAGCTCAAGAACGAGCTTCTCCACCTGCCTCTTCCTCTCGCCGTGTTCATGACCATAATGCGAGTGTTCAGCTTCTTTACGCTGGATCTCTTCCGTCACCTCTTCGACGGTAATGAGAAGCTCATCCCTCTCACGAGAGAGACTGTCTCGCTCAGCCATGATACGAGACCATGACTCTTTGAGCGAAGAAGCCTCTCGGGAGGCGGTAGACATGAGGTCCATCAAGGCGAAGAATTTGCCCTCAGCTTGTGATGTGAGCTCTGTAGACATCTTGCTTCGATGTGACTGGAGGAAGCTGCTTGCTCGACGAGAGGATGAGCTGGTCTGACGAGTCGTTCGACGTGTCAGTGATGAGCTGTGGCCGCCACCATTTGCTTGACTGGCGAATGAGAAAGATCGGTTGCCTGTGGGGGAGGAAGGCTCAGAAAAGACGTCGCGAAGTCCACTGGCCTTGAGCTTCATGATGGTGAGCCTCTCGGGCGAGATATCGGCGGTGGTATCGAATGTGTCTGTCATTGTGATGATATGAGGTATTGAGAGAGATGTGAAGATGTTTGAGATGTATATGCTATGAGGGTGAGCGGAAAGTGGTACTTATGCTGTCAGTGCCGTCAACCAGCATCCTGCCCCACGTACCATGGTAGCGTATCACAAGCGGCACATCAATACTGCCATCGGTATAGTCAGCTCCTCGCATTAACCAGCTGGTCGTGGCTTGCAGCTTGGAGGTGTATTCCCACGTATGACGCAACGTTCTCAGAGCATTTGGCAAACTGGAGGAGCTATCCCAGCTGCCGTTCGATACGCTGCACTGTTACTGGAAAGGCACATGCAGCAACTTGGAACCATGCATGAGATAAGTGGGACCTCTTCATCGAGTGTCGGCGACTCAAGAGGTGGAGGTAACCATCGTAGCATTCAGCTTGAACGAGCACCGCCTAGGAGATCAGACCCGGCATTGCCATATGCAATGACGATCCTTCGTAGCGCACGTCGATGAGAGGGATTTTGGCCTTGCCGCTCTCGCTTGTCGGGGCATTGGACTGCATGATGGATCGGCTTACGACTGGATGATGTGATGCCATGCGCGGGTAGATCACCAGGGCTGGGTATCTCGATGCTGCAGATCGCAGATCATATATGGGGGCGGGCCGCGCTATAGCATCCTCGCCGAGTCGACAGCGCCATCGCTTGACCTCGCTTGCTTCTTTCGGCCGCTACATGACGCCAAAGCTTTCGATAGTCCTAAACGGGATTCCGTCTTTCATCGCGAGGGAAGAGCCGTGAACCAATGACACTGCCTGGCATGGTGGACCGGACCGCGGTCAGGCAATCGGAAACGTCGGCCATGACCGAGCACTGGGATGACGAACACCATTGGAGGGGAAGCTACACCGGTGCACGCCTGGCCATTACCAGTGTAGTGTATCAGTGAGCGATGATCGAAGAGCCGGTGGTTGTAAGACGTAGCTCCAGATCGTGCGGCGGCTCTGAGGCACCTGGGCATGGTTGACGCTAGCACATGACCCCGCCCTTGTCGATGAAGAAGCAACGAAGGAGCGGAGGAGTTCGCATCGCCAAACCTGCGTCGAGTCTGGAACAGAGACATAGCAAACCTATCGATTCCAGAGACGTTGGTAGGAGATGTTCAAGCACCAGCAGGAACTTCACCCGTGCTTCAAGCATTTTCCTAATGCGGGTCTCGGTTCTGCACATCGTACCCGCACTTGCAGCGACGTCACGGCTAGACGAGAATTCGGGAAAGAGCGATCAAACCCCGACTGAACGCATCGATGGAGGTGTCCGGTAGTCTGTACTGATCCTGCACGTCCTTTCTCATACGTCTTGTGTTTTGGCTAGCGCGACACGGCCCTTCAGCTTCATGTGATCCGCATGCATTCCCTTCCACGGCAACACCGATGGTCTTTGATAGGCATCCACGAACCGGGCACACGCACGACGAGTTTACATTCCAACATTTTTGTTTCTGCCCGGCCGCAATTCATTGCCAGCGCGTCTCACAATGACGTGGTATCAAACACAACTTGCGTCTTTTAGAACAGACGTCTCTTGGATAAAAAGATTCGGCTCATCGCAACGTCTTTCTCACAATAGCAGCGGACATGACGGGGCCCGTCATGTCTAATTTCCTGTCGCGAAGGCAAGTCATCGATCAAGAGAGGTGAGCCAGTACTAGCAGATCCCTTTTAGCTGAGTCGCCGCGGCCTTGATAAGTCCTTTGCAACGGATGGGCTTACTGTGTACAGCGTCCGATCACCATATCATGAATTGAAGAAGTGGTTACATCCAGGAGTCTTTGCGCAGTGAACTTAACATAGAGATGTGGCGTATACTACCTTGCGTTACCGCTACCCGAACTTGAAACGTTGTCTTCTTTGAAGATCGAGTTCATAAGAGCCGGGGAGGGTAAGCCCTGACGAAAAGAAGACTGACGTCTTTGTTCGAGCATCTAAATCCAGATCTCACTAGACACCTTTTGGGCTTGTTCTTGGTAAGGAGCCATACTTGAAAGAAGTCTGCGAACGGCGCTCGTATCGCAGATATGATAAATGTGTCCAAGGTAAGTCGAATGTGGTGCGTCAAGAGCGACACTTCGTTCTTTACGTTTCCGAGACCATCCATCCCTCTTTGCACTCACCCACCTTCCCGATACACACACCGTCATGAAACTATCCCTCACCCCCATCTTCGCGCTTTCACTCCTCACCACATCCATCGATGCTTACGAATTCAAAACCGGATCAGGAGTTTGTGCCAAGCGTTATGAAAAATGCACAGAACCATGGGTTTACCTTTGCGAATGTAACTCGGGCTGGATTGTAAGTCTTCATATCTTATGCGAGGTTGCGCACGCGCTTATTGTTATCAACACAGGTGCAGTGTAGTGGTGGCGGGACCCGCTACGATCCAACCCCTGTGAAATGGATGCCTCTTCTTGACTGTCCAAAGCCGGACAAGAAGGGAGGGCTGCAATGTGTTTCTGGGATGTGCACTAAATGGCGGCCTGACCTGCTATCGATTTAGAGCTGTTCTGATGTTGTTGGTGGACAAATGCCGGTGGGGTGTGGGTGTATTTGCGTACTCAGACAGTAATTGGTTCGCTCTTACTTAGTTGTAGCTTGATGAAACTCGACTTATTTTGTGTGTTCGCAGTCGTCCTATCGACGTTGTTTCGTTGCCTTGCGTCTAGTAAACAACGGAACATCTGATGCCGCTGTGAAGGCTCGATTTATTGAAGGTATACGGTACCAGATAGATGGGGCTATGGAGCAGATTACGCCATTCATATAAATTAACGATGTTGTCACGGCAGGACGCTGACACATGTAAGTTGGCATGATGCCCAGGTGTTGTTGGGCCAAGTCTGATCCCCACGATCACTTGGGCTGGGCTGTCCACAGGTCAGCCCTCCTGGAGTACGCGAGGATGAATGATGGGCGTGCTACCACGAAGACTTTAAATCCAGACAACCTTGGAAGGCTCAGCCTGATCTAAATCGTGTTCGACACGCGTGACGAAGAAGCAGTGTGGACATTGATCATCGCGTCGGTGGCGTTCGGCTTGAGTTCGGCCTTGAGATCTGTGGACGGCCCCGCAACTAGCGAGTCTTGGGCTGTTTCAGTTCCGCCCTTTTTCCGTGAGCCGCAAAACCCAGCGCACCTCTCAAAGCTATCATGCTCATCAAGTCTTTGGAACCCAAGCTGCCCAATATCCGATAAGGGAACGCGTTCAGTTCGCTTCGATACACGATCCAGGACGGTGAGGCAGGTGTTAATCCTAGCACACGTTCAACTGCGGAAGCGTCCATTCCACGATACATAGGGATTCGACCCGACTTGTTGTCATCTGTTTGTCCAACTGCACTTTTGCAATCACGCACGCCGACGATATCACAATCCGATCATGTCGCGGACGGCAGAGCTCCTACGCCTGTCACCCTGTTCCGAGAACGAGTTCATTTGTTGCGAGAAGGAGTCCGATTGGGACAAAGAGAAAGCCAAACTGCAAGACCGAGTCCGTCGTGTTAATCTAGACGAAGTGCCCATCTCTAGGTAAGTTGGAACGATCGGGTAGTATGTATGGCCTCCGAACACTGTCGCTCACATCTTGATCAGTGACATCATGAGGTCGTTAAAACTTCATACAGGATGGTTACAAAGTCTTCAGATCGCCAATAGTGCAGCCAATATCTCAGACAATGATATCCTTGATTTGGTATCACGTAACAATGGGCTACGCGAAATTTTCCTAATAAACAAAAATCTAACTGACAATTCAGTCCATCATATCCTTGGATATTGTCCAGACATCGTATCCATTTCAATTGGTAGTAGCCGTGCTGGCGGAGATGGACGGATCAAAGGCCATTTTGCATCCTACATGAACAAGCAGGAGAACTTGCACAAATGGAAGAAATTGGACCATTTTACCTTTTCCAATCAGCCACTCGACAAGGCGCACATTAGAAGCATGCTCAAAAAGCGACGGAACCTACGAATCGATCAGATGCAGACACCCAGCCCTGAAGTAGTCAAATCGCTCACGGATGCCGGTATCTCACCTCACCACAAGCAACTAGCAGAAATGTTTGCCGAAGACGATGCTGAAGTATTAAGAGCCATACCTGCTGCATCTTTCTGGAGAGAAGGCAAGATTGTAGGCCCAGATATGGTGGGCTTGGTGCACTTGGAACAGGCTCGGTTGAATGCTATCCGACGGTGCAAGGCTGAGCTTGAGGCGGAGGAGGCTGAGGTGGAGGCAGAAAAGATCCCTGAAGAACCAGAGAGTCGTAGAAAGCGGACTCTGGACCCGGTCTTTCCATCATCACCACGGCCAGCTCGAAAGGTTGCAAGACGCGAAGTTTCCGATCTCCGTCACAAAGAAGATGCAAAGCAGGCCGACATGACGAGTAGCGCAAACGTCAATGAAGCGGTATCTAGCATGGAAGGCACCTCCGGAAACGCCAACGCAGTGAGCAGTTCTGAAAGAAGCGCCTCGACTAAGAACGTCATCAAAGAAGAACCTTTGGACGAGGATAGCTTCGGAGTGAACTATGAGGCAGCCGAAACTCACGGAGGAGATGCCTTGGATGAGGAGGAGGATGCTATGATGAGGACTGTAATCAAGAGAGACGATAGTGTATGACCAAAGCCGATTTCAATGAAGAGATATATTCAGAGTGTTTCAGGTGGCTTTCACTTCAATATCGAAAGCGCGCAAGCGTGCCGACAATTGAGACCAAATTGGGTGATGGCGCCCTGGAAGCGCTGGTATGACATCATCGTTTTGTAGCCTGGACTTATCCAGCAGGCTCTATCATCAACTCTGTACGACCTCGGGAGCGAGCAGACTTCTCTTATTCCACATTGAACGCTAATGACATTGTCTCTCTCTCGTGTTCCGAGAGCACGATGTGTGCAGACGCTTTTTGGTTTCAGTTGCGGCCAGGCATCCTCGGGGCCCATACTAGTTTACCGGTACCCCCCGCCCAACGGGTCCGGCTGTTTCGGGAAGGTTCGCTCCTGCAGGCCGAGGAACCTCAACATGTCCACAGTCACCAGTCGCTCAACACCAACCCCCTATGAAGAAACGGCGCGGTTTACATGTTAGTGAACTGCTATCGATACTAAGTTGACTCCAACCCCGCGCGCGACAAGCAACACAACCGGGCCCCACTGTCTGACCTGCCCCCACATCACACCTTCGAAGCCACGCACTTACCAACACCGAACAATGTCGTTAGAAGCAACTCGCAAATATTGGCTACTACTACCTGAGAACCAGCGCGTAGCATGTGATAGTGCAGATAAATGGCATTGGATAAAAGAGAGAGAGAAACTGCTGCGAGGCCGAGTGTATGATGTTTTTCTGACGTGCGACATTCTGATATCACGGTATGTTCAGACGACGAAGAAGTCCATTGCCTGAAAGCCATGACTAACAGCTTCATTAGCTCTATGAAGACTTCGCTAAAGCTTCATACCGGCTTTCTGAAACGCCTTTGGTTGAGCGACAGGGAAGGCAATCTCTCAGACGGCGACGTGCGCGCGATTGTTGCACGGAATCACCTCCTACTCGATATCAACTTATATGCACCAAATTTGACAGACAAGGCACTTATCGCCATTCTAAAACACTGTCGATCTGTCGTGTTTGTTGGAATTCACGGCTTGCCTAGCACAAATGGGTGTATCAAAGGCTATTTCGTTGATTTTATGAACATGCGGGAAAATCAGCGCGAATGGCCGTTGCTGAATGAATTGCGGCTAGACAATCAACCCATCGAAGAAGCTCGAATGAGAAGCGTCACCGAAAAAAGACACGGACTAGAGATTCGGCAAAGCATTGCGCTTACTCCTGCTGTAGCTGAGGCGCTGTCCAACGCTGGTGTCAATATACCAGGCGCGGAACATATCGCAACTAAGTGGCGCAGAGGGCATGTCGTAGGCATAGACTGGGTAGCATTGGTGCGCAGAGAGCAAGCGAGGCTGGATGACTTGAAACAGCTTGCGATACAACTTCAAAATGAAATGCTTCAACGGCTTCGACAGAAAATTCATGAATTGGAACGGGAGCTGGAGGAAAATGGCACACCACTAGATCAATTTCGACGAGAGCGAGATATCGCTAGACTTCTAGTCAATTCTGCGCACAGTGATACAGAAGAGACTAGATCAGAAGAGACTGGATCAGAAGGAACTGGACCAGAAGAGAGCTGTTCTGAGGCAGAGGGCTCTGGCGATGACGGTCTGGATGATCTTGATACTAGACGTCTAGGTAGTTATGAAGAGGGAGACTCAGAAGCAGATGAACTCGAGGAAGAGGAAGATATCTTAGAGGAGGAAGAATCAGAAGCAGATGAGCTCGAAGAAGAGACCGGAGAAGAGCATTCGAATGAAGAAGATTGCTCCCCAGAAGAGACCGGCGGGGAAGGGGAGGAGGACGACGATGAAAGATATCAAAACGAGGAAGAGGCGCGTCCCTCAATCAAAGCCGAAAGGATTGCACAGATTGCAGACCAAGAGATCCTCAATACAGAATCCAGATATTGGGCCCCTGTGGAGCGGAACACAGGAGCAACGATAAAACAAGAAAGCCGCCCTAGTGTAGCGAGAAGTTTACCAAGAAAATCGGCATCGATATCTGCCGATGAGGATAATGACATGCGCATCGCGAGTGGAACTCATATCCAAGACGAAAGACAACCGAGCGACCGCAGTGAGGCGGATTCCAAAGATGAGCTTTGCAACGGGGTCAAAAGCGAAAGTAGAATACATGCACAAGATGCCGCACGCTTGGGGAACGACATCGAACGCTCTAATGTTGTCAAAACGTATTATCCACGCACACCCATTCCACCCCTCGAGTTTCCGGGTTCTGTCACACTCAGATTTAGCAGTCCTCAGGATTGGGAGCGACGATGGCATAGGGCACAGCGTCGCACAGGCATACGCATGGTCATTTTCGAACCAAGCTTTGCTGTCACAGTGTAAGTTGTCTTCGTCTGTCATTGAGTTTATTATTAGCATACTAAACCTAAACAGTGCCGACATCAATCTGCTAGCTTGGTCACCAGCAGCATTTAGTTCATCTATTCTCGCGATCCGCGTGGGCAACGGTGCCCTGCTAGACGACCAGTCTATTACCAACCTCGCCGCGAATATGGCGCAGTTAACACAGGTGCAAATCGACTTGGCCCCAAGTATTGGTGACCAATCCATCATGAGTCTTATCGAGTTCTGTCCGGCCATTGAATACATTGAAGTATGTGGGGATGTACTCACGAGACGATCTGGTGGTGTGACTTTGCGTAACCTCGACGCGATATTGATTGCAAATGAGAACAAGGCCCAACGTCTTCGTAACTTGGTACTCGTAGATCAGCTGGTGGAAGACAAGAACGTGGAAGCCTGCGAAAAATTGCGAGCAGATCTGAAAATTATACGTGGACATCAGACACGACCAGAGATCGTGCCAGGAAGCAGGGCTTAGCGCGCGGCTAGATCCAGAAAAAAAAGTCATTACATTAGGTACTATCGATTCTCATACTTATTAATCCAACGCAAATCTTTGTGAGTCGCGGTCGGCCAACGGCACCACGTTGTAGTTCAGTCGCTGTACATAATAGTCGTCCTCAAGCTCGTGCGCTCGAGGTTTTCGTTGCACCTGGCCCAACAGGATTGGCCGGAGCCCTTTCTTGAAGTTGTAGAAGCAAACGCAGCCGGCCAGGAGAGCACTCGTCGAAAAGACCACCCCAACGCAGAGGTAGAAAACCATCTCATCCTTCAATAGAGTATCAGCAAGTAACGAGTGCCCGTAGAGAACGAGGAGTCTGCTGATCAGGTATGCGATGTTTGCGGCATGGAGAAGCTGTGAAACGCGATGTTAGCGCGTGCCAGTCCTTTCGAGGTTGAGTGACCTACCAAAACAAACGCCATTCCAATGCGACGCTCATGCCTCACAAAATATACCGCGATAGCCACATGTACAAGAGTAGCCGGGATGATTGAGATCGTCAATGAGAACTCGGGCTCCTGGAAATGGACGTCGATGAAATCGTAGAAGATTATGAACGCGAAAACGAAGTAGGGTGTAAACTTGAGAAGCACGAGGTAAATCTGTGCTTGAGTGAGTATGGTCAGGTAAAGAAGATGACGCAAGTCTTACCTGGTAGACAGCGTATTTTGTTTGCATCTTCTTGTCAGGGCTGACATGCTGGTATAAAGCCCAAGAGAACTCACGGTATAGGCCCCTCGCTAACAGGCACATAATGGCACTGCTGACACATGTGACCACGGTACAGACCATCAAGCCAGGTGAGATCTTCTTCCAGAAAGGCCAATCAACATCTGCGAATGGAGTGCCGTACATGTCGTGATTAACGAGGATCCTAGATACTGCATGTCTAGTCTCGCCATATTGAAGAACCGTCGAGATTGAAAGGCATATGTTGGCGGCGCATTGGACAAACACCTGGATGTGGTTCTTGATCCGGTATGCGTCAAGTGTCAAGATGATCTGGAAGAGACATCCCAATGAGTTGACACACAAGGTCAGAGGGATGACATAAGATATCGGAACCTGGTATGCGACCGAGTTTACCCAATTCAAGTACGTGACAAGAATGACTCTAGGTCTAGTTAGACAGTTCATCTAGCGAGTGAGTTATGCGGGGAAATACGAACGTCTGTATCGTAATATTCGTAATCGCCTGAACTGTCGTAGTGCCGAAGAAAAACCATTCCAATCTCGTCTCCGGCCGCCACGATACCATCGTTATTATGTTGCCCCGATCGAGCTGCCCGCACGCCCAAAGAGGTAATGGAAACGAGTGTGATGTGAATCAGCCACACTGGGGCAGGGTACAAGCGGTGGGTATTGCGTGCGACGGGACAATCTTTTTAGCAGTCTCGAAGAATCATGACAACGCGTGGACAGAAGCAAAAACCTTCTAGTTCCATAGATAGTCCTGCATTTTCCGGGCTTGGGTCCGCTAGGAAAGCCTAAATACGGGAAAGGAGCTTCCGCACTACGCCGCATTCAGCCGAACGTCGACCATCGCAGCTGACATTGACGCTACGCCATCCCAGACTTCTCACGGCGAGCGTTCCCGGAACCTTGATGGACGATTTGATTGCATGGTGTCGGATATTACTATCACGATACGAGGTTGGTGCTGTGGAAGGTGTGGGGGGAGGCTCAGGCTAGTTGCTTTTCCTGCTAGCGTGACAGCCGTCATGCAGGATGTCTCTCGTCTCATCAACCCGGCCTTGCGACACTCGAAGTTCAGGACAAAATCACAGCGAAATCTCTCTCTCAGTGTTGATGACACCTGCTATCGCGGTGCTCATCCACCCAATACGCCATTTCTCTGTTACCATGATTGACAGTCCTGTTCTAGACATGCCCAGCGCACGACGCGCAAACCGTGGGTCTTTCTCCACCAGGGGCACAAAGCTTGCCGAGAGCTGTTCGAGAGGAGTCTATGAACCGTAAATCTCGAAGGCCAGACGCAGTTGCTTTTGAAACTCTTATCGAACTCAGGGAGCTCTACAAACGGAGTTTAAATCATCCAAAATCGCGTTCTCATACCTCGTTCTATCATCCTTCCTCCAGCTACCCACAGCGCGACATGAGCACTCAAAACACACACCCGCAGGTCCGCTGGCAAAGGGCTACACCACACCCTCCTGAGAACGAACACTTGATTTATCCCCCTCTTCAACTTTTGAATCTGCCAGGCATACTCGGAGTCCGAGCCACGCTTCATCCCATGTTTGGTGAGCTACAAATCGCCCATGCCTTTTGCTGCGATGGCGAGCCAAACCCTTGTATCACTCCGGACACTTACCACGTTCCCTACGGATTCTACATTGATTGCACCGTAAACATTTATGGAATTGGAGAGTACAGGTGGAAATCCCGTGTCTGCCCTCCAATCCCATTGGCTCGTGATGTTCCCGCCCAACGTCAGGCGCGGCAGGGACCAGCACAACAGCATGGCCATGCACCAGAGAACAATAGACTAAAACGTAACTACGAAGACACGGATTACCCCGATGCTACTGGGCGAAAGATACCCAGGACCGATTGGTATGCAGCGACTGTCGAACGAGAACACAGGGAAGAAGTATATGGTGTCGGCTCCGAGGAGAGTGCTACGGGAGACGAGACAGTTGAAGCAAATGAAGAAAGCGGAGAGGAGTATGAGGAGTACTACTGGGGACGCGAAAGTAGCGTCGAAGTCGAGCAATGCGTCAATGAGCGCGACTCATCCGATGATGAGTCCCTCAGTTGGGATGTCCCCAAAGCCATGGAAAAGGCCAAAGCGAGGCGTGGCCTCGTATATTCTGGAATCTTTCCCAGTCTCGGCAACCCAGAGGATACTCTGTTCTACGGCGATTGGGACCAGTGGAAACAACGATGGCATACAGACGCGTTACGCACCGGTATTTGGAAAGTACATTTTGGACCCGAGTTTCGCGTTCAAAGGTAAGCTGATTTATACTTTATTATGATTGAACAAATGATGTACTTGGTACTGACGATCATGGCCGTGGCTAGATCACACCTCGAGGCGTTGGCATCGGCACCACCTGCATTTCGAAAGACCATTGTATCGATACGTTGCAGCAACGCAAGGCCTCTGGATGACGATGACGTGATTACACTCTGTTCTATCAACCCTGGTTTGAAGGACATTTTGCTCAGTGGCGCGCGACTTGTCTCCGACAGAGGCCTTGTTCATATACTGAAACTATGCCGATCCATAAGTCGTATCAACATAAGTGGTGATGACAGATGCCACGGCTCAATCAGCCTTAAAGACCGGCAATTGCGTGACGCAATACGGAATCCCCAATATGGGAGAAGGCTGATGCATTTGTGGCTCATGGATCAGCGCTTCACTCGCAAGCGGGCCAAGATCATTTCCAAGACAAGGCGGAAGATGGCTATAATAGGGGGAGAGACTGTGGGGGACAGTCACGCTGCGGAGGTTGTGGCTAGTATGGCTGGGGGAATTGACAGATTTGTGTACTTCCACGGCGGCGAGGTACCATACATGGAACTTGGGTACCCGTCATGGTAACGTGCTCTCAAGACAGGCAACAGGTATCGTGACATGAGAATAGAGTGTTTCGAATATGGAATATACATGTGGTTGCATTCCAAAAATCGCGTGAAGAACGAATATACCTCTATCCATACAAATATTATGCCATCTAATTAGCTGCGCCGTCGCGGCTTCGGTTGGGAAGTTCCAGCATTCTACGCCGTAACATCGCCGCTCTTCGCTCGCTTCGCGTCCCTTTCCTCGCCAGCATTTGCCTCGGCACGTCTTTTACCCTCGTCCTTCCTTGCAGTATCCTTCTCTTCCCGCGCAACACGCCGCGCCTCCTTGTCCTGCTTCTCCTTTTCCTTCCGAAGAGCCTTGCTCTCGAACTCGTGCCAGTCACCCTCCAGCTCCTTCAGCGCGTCGGCACGTTTCGGTGGCGGGGTTTCGCTAGTGAAGAAAGGATGCTCGAGCACGTCGGCGGCGGTGGGTCGCGCATTGGGATCGAACAGGAACATTGCCTGAAGAAGCTCAAAGGCCATAGGACTAACGCGGTCCTTGTATTTCTCCTCAAAAGTCGACTGTTTTCGTTCGGTTGGCCGTAGCAGTTCAAACCACTGCATATCGACAATGCCAGGCCAGTCCTGCACAGTGGGCGTGCCGAGTATGTTGTAAATCTTGTCCAGCTGATTGATCTCGCCGCCATCGCCAGGGAAGATAGCGTGCCGGGTAAAGATCTCGACCAGTACACAGGCAGCCGACCAGATGTCGACTGCTGGCCCATACTGTGTTTCTCCCAGCAACAGCTCCGGTGATCGGTACCAGATGGTAATGACCCGGTTGGTGTAGTCGAGCTTACTGCTTTTCGCGTAGAAACGTGCAAGACCGAAATCTGCCAGTTTCAATTGTCCGGTATTGGATACAAGGATGTTCGCAGCCTTAATGTCTCGATGTAAAACGCCGCGGCGGTGGAGGTAATCCAGGCCTTCAAAGAGCTGTTTGGCCAGGTCCTTCTTGTGTGCTTGTTCGAGCTTGAAGGTCGGGTGGTTCAAAAGACCGGTAAGATCGTGGGAAAGGTATTCGAAGACCATGTAGCAGTCGTTCTTCTCAACCATGACTTCTCGGAGATTAACGATGTTGGCGTGATTAAGAGATTGCAGAAGTTTGACCTCACGGATGGCCGTAACGGGGAACTGGTAGTTGTTAGCGTCATGTCACTGCCTAGCACTGGGTGTTCTTACGCCATCGCGTTCGCCCTCCATACGAATCTTCTTGAGAGCTACCATATCCTTTGTATAGACATGGACTCCCTTGAAGACCTTTCCGTAGGTGCCGGATCCAACCACCGATTCGTTACCGGGCTTCCGGTAGTATACAGACTCTGAAGCTGCATGTTCAGGGACCAGCGTAGGCCGAGGTTTCATGCGCTTCCTCATAACGATCTTAGTCTTGGGTATCTGAGGGGGTGGTGACTTTCGCGCTGGTCGTGTGTCAGGCCGTGGATCGAATCGTCTATCGTCAGGTCGTCGGGGTGGGTATGGTTCTCTACGATCTCTCGGATCGCGCATATCTCTGGGATCGCGGTCACGGATATCGCGCGGGTCTCGTGCATCTCTCGGATCTCGCATATCTCTGTCTCGTGGGTCTCGGAAATCTCGCTCTTTGCCGCGATAGTAGGGCTCACGCGTGTCTCGTAGATCTCGGGTGTCTCTATCGCGAGGGTCTCGATAGGCAGGTTTTCGATCGTAGTAGTTGTCATACCGACGGTCTCGTTCCCTGTTGTCTCGGTCGCGGCCACTATCGTAACCTCTGTCCCTCCCGTCTCGGTCCCGATCGCTTCGTGCTTCCGAGTGGCGTGGGGAAGCTTCACGCGCTGCTGCTGCTGCCGCTGCGGCCTTTGCTTTGGGGTCAAGAAGAGACTCTTTGGAAGCAGGCGCCGGCTTCTCGGGCTCTTCCACTCCAGGCTTTGCTTTGCTCGCTGGTGGCACTGGATTCTTGGTCTTCAACGAGAACCCAAATCCTGACTTGGGTGCTGTCGGTGCCTTTGAAGGTGCCATCCTCTTGTCCTCCTTGGAACCCTCGTCTTCTACACGCAGATCTTTGGATGGGCGAAAGGGATTATCATCAGCATCCACAGATGCAGAGTCGGCAGGTACTTGCGACGCGACAGCGGGCTGTGGGCGTGGCGCTTCAGTGGCTGGGCGGCCGCCTCGAGTGCCCGACGCTGGCGTCCATGACAAGTTGGAGAATTGGGTAGGCGCGCCACGCCCTCGTCCGCCTGGACCGCCAAACGGAGCGTTTGCGCCAGGACCTGACATTCGGCGGTCGGGGCCGTTGAAGTTGTTGCCGCGGTAGCCGCCATGTCCTCCGCGATGGGGGCTGTTCTGGAAGCCAGGTTGTGGGTACGGTTGGTTTGGGTAGTAACCTGGAGATTGGTTCTGATGGTAAGGAGATTGATTTGGGGTATAGCCATGTGTGGGAGACCTGATGATGTCAGCATGTGGATGACCGAAGGCCGATGGGATGGAAACTAACCCTTGATTAGGATACGGTGGACCGTTCCAACCGCCTCGACCGCCGCCATGATATGGCGATTGATTTTGGGGGGAATATTGATTTTGGGCAGGGTACGGTGGCGATTGCTGGAAGCCACCACGTCCCTGGTAGTGATACGCTCCCCTCATCTTGCCGTGGTCTTCCCGACTTTTGGACGTGTCAGAGTTGTAACCTGATCCCGGCGCGGGCGAGCCTCGACGTGAGGCGACCCTGTCTGTTCCTTTATCCAGGCGTTGACGCGGCCTCGATGTAAGAGAGGGCGAGCGCGATGGACGGCGTCGAATGGGCGGGCGGGGCGAACGACTTCTGCGCGGTGATAGTCTGGCTCGGTGGGTATGGGGCGGCGAATTCCTGCGAACTGGGCCTGGAGATCGCCTCCGGGGCGGACGAGAGGGAGATCGAGCACGTCTGGAATCTCGACTGCGACTCCTTGCCCTGTCGCGTGTATTGTAGGGCTTGTAGGACCGTTCACCGCGGTTGTCGAAGGGTGAAATAGGTCTTCGATCAGCTCTCCTAGGCGACAGTCTCCGAGGCGGTGTTGCACGCCTAGATCTCCTGTCGAGTGAAACTGATCTTTTCCGTGCACGATGAGCCACCGGTCTGTAGTGTGTATCGGCAGAGGGCGAGCGGCGGCGAGTCGAGGTGGACGGGAAATACGTGTCGGGCGTGGTTCGTCGAGGCGGTCGGTCGCGGTCGGAACGCTGAGCTCGTGGGGAGTATGCCCTCGTAGCAGGCCGGTCCGGCGAAAGTGCACGTCGTGGCCTCGATGCAGAGCGTATTGGGCTGCGACTGCCCTGCCGTTTCACGCGCTTGGCGGAGCCTCGTGGAGATGGAGAACGCGGGTGGTGGCGTTTCGACGATGGAGTTGTGTCGCGATGGTGGTGGTGATGCCGATGCGAGTGGGCAACCCTGTCTGCGCTGGCTTCCCTCTTCGAAGCTCGATGGCGGTCCTCCCCAGAGATGCTGCGACTGCGCCGACGCGCGCGCTCTCTGCTCAAACTTCTTTCGCGTGAACGTCCCCGTGCGTGCCTGGCCGATGAATGCGTGTGGGTGTCGTGTGCGCGGTGTCTGGGAGAATCTCTGGCAGCTCGTGGCACTGGTGACGATGTTCTACCCTCGTTGTTCCTCTCCCGTGACCGGTCCCTAGATCGCTCTCTGTCCCTACTAGACGAGTCCTCTGGTCTCCACTGGTCTATATCCTGAGCCCGTCGCAGGGCAGCCATAGAGGCAGGAAGGGCATCAGAAGGCGCAAGGTTGCAGCATCAAGAGGTCCGCGGGTCAAAGTGCCACGGCCTAACCGAACAACAAGAAAGTCCGGCACCCTGCTCTCAGCCTTACGAAGCAGTAGTAATGAAAGCGAAAAACAACAAGAGAATCGGCTGCGACTGTAACACACTCCTCAATGCGCTGCCGTTGATGCGCTTTCGATGTTGCTGTCGTGGCCGCAGACGCTGCGCATGCAGCGCCTTCTCGCTCGTCGGTCTTCCGCCTGCCGCTATCGACAACGCCAAGCCCCGTGACAAGTCGCCCTCATCGAGTGTGCATGGAAACCCCTCCCTGGCGCCCAAGACTCCAGCCTGCTCCCAGATATCATCTCGGCTTGTCCCTTCCGCATCTTCAGATTTTGGAGATCATGTTGCAGTCCACCAGGTGTGCCATATGGCTTCACGACATCTACATAACGCATGCGAAGCAAGACCCCACCACCCTACTAAAGACAACCCCTGACGACCGAAGCTGTAGAGAAGTAATCCTCAATATCAGGCCATGGCAACTCGGACACGGCGATATTTTCAAACACCAATGAGTCGAGATATCCCGTTATCGGGGGTTGGGCCGATCCAGAAAGGTGATGCGATCCTTTTGTAGTTATGTTGAGCTCGCCG